TATAGTTCTATATTAGTTAAGTTTAATTTATTAATTTACTAAATAGAAGTATTTAACTAATTACTACATCCTCACTTTCGTTGACCCCCCCCCCCCTCCCCCTCCCCAGTGGCTCAGAGGTAAATCTGCAGGCTTGAGACACTAGAGAAATTTAGAAAATTTCTTGATAGGCAGTGTACAGATAGCCCATTGTGTAGCTTTGCGCTTAAGTACAAACAAACAAAATAATTTCTGTGTGTTGTTTGGTGCAACTGCATTTTAAATTCTCTTAAGTTTATTTTCAAAGTGAGGTAAGAAATAATATTTTATTGTTTCAAAACATGAATGTATATATATATATATATGTTTTTTTTTGTAGGTTTATGTACTGAAATGTCTATTCATAGGTTTGATACAGCAAGGGAGAGATATATGAAGTTAAGAGAGGTAACTTTTATCTTGATCTGTAGATTCATAAATATATTTAGTAAATATTGACGAATTAGAAGGAATTTCTTTGTTATTGTCTTGTCTTATACTTGTGTTTGTAACAAATTTTAAAAGAAGTACAACTTGTTAATTGTCAGCATCATTTAAAAAAATATGAAATGATTAATGCAAGTTAATACTTAGACAAAAGGAATTTTCGATTTTATCTAACTCAAAGTTTCAGAATTTTCTTTTACGTAATAACTTTTTTTGAGTTCAAAAATGATCTGATGTGAATAATATTTACAAGTTGTATGATGGTACGAGTTTAAAAAAAGAGAGTTTAACAAACGAAAGGCTATTAAGAATGTGCCATATGTAGATGTGGGCTAAAATAATGCTACATGAAGTGTGAATTTCATACTGTTGTTTTTTGTTTTATCTATGCAAGTATAGTTTATTTATGAGCAGAAAATGACAATTGTGGCACTTATTTAAAATTAGAGATGAAGAATACAGCACTGGTTAGGCCACATTTCGATTATTGTGTTCAATTTTGGGCTCTTTACATTAAGAAAGACATTGAATTGTTGAAAAGAGTTCAGAGAAGGGTTTCTAGAATGGTGGCTAGGATGGAGGGATTGTGAGACGAGGAGAGGCTGAAATCTCTTGAGTTGTTTTCTCTTGAAGTTAGTGGGGATCTGATTGAGGTGTTTAAGAATATAAAGGGAATTGATAGTGTTGATGCATCATCTTTTTTTCATACTTAACAGTGAGAATAGTACGGCAAGGGGACACAAAAATTAATTTTGTCAAGGTAGGAGTCATCTTCAGCTAAGTCAGTTTCATTTTTCTAACAGGGTGGTTGTCCTTCGGATGTTGTAGAGGCAGTAAATTTAAGTGAGTTTAAGAAAAAGCATGATAAGTATATGAATGATAAGGGCTGGCTTTAAAATTTGTTTTTCTTTAATTTTAGTTATTAATAGTTTGAGTTTAGTTCAGAGGATGGAACAGCCAAGATGGACCGGTAGGTCTCTTGTTGTCCCAAAACGTTATGTTTTACGTTATTGTCAGAACCTCAAGCCAAGATATGTTAAAGTTTGCCTCAATAAATATCAATGTTAATGGAGGTGATTTTGGGCAAAATATAGAACAAGATTTTGTTCTTCCATAATACTTTTAACATGTTGAATTTATTGTTATTATTAAAACTGGTGTTTAACTTTTTAACTATTAGTGGAAAGAAGTCATTGATATGCGATAGTGGTAAGATTTTTATGTAATATGCTACCAAAAGCTGGGTACTTTCTAATTCCGTGAGCAAGTATGAATGTACAGCTTATTTTGAGGCTATTGTATTATGTGACACATGTATTTATATATTTACTAACAAGGATCAGTTTTTTTGTTTTACAAAAAAATGTTGCAAGTTGTATGGATTTTTGGTTGATTTTTCCTCAGACTGCTTCCAATTTTCTCTTGATTCAATTTGGATTATCTACTTTTCATTATGATGCAGAAAAAGACAGGTATGTCTTTCTGATCTGTCATTATTTGTTAATTCTATCATAATAGTGTTATTTGTTTTATGCAATAGCTAATGAAAAAAGTAGCATTTAAATAGCATGGTTTCTTAAAATTTATTACGAAAATAAAAACAAAAAAGTATGGTGTTTTTCTCTGTTAATCTAATAGCATCAGTTGTAAAACAAGTATCTAATATAGATGAGCTCGAGATAAAATAGTCCATGAAATTCTGTATTATTTGTTTCACTTGGGAAACATGCAAGGTTAAACCAATATATATGTATATATTAATATTTTAAATGTCAGACTTTATTTTGATTTTTTCAGTTTTGGTTTTATTCCTCAATACAGTGTCCTAATTAAAATTCAGAATACTAATAGTATTAATATTTTGAAAACTAAGAGCATCTACAAGAACATGAGATGAATTAAATTTTTTTATTTTACCACTGAACTTGTAAACAGATTGTTGATTATGACTGAGCTTGTGAACAGATTGTTGATTATGACTGAGCTTGTGAACAGATTGTTGATTATGACTGAGCTTGTGAACAGATTGTTGATTATGACTGAGCTTGTGAACAGATTGTTGATTATGACTGAGCTTGTGAACAGATTGTTGATTATGACTGAACTTGTAAACAGATTGTTGATTATGACTGAGCTTGTGAACAGATTGTTGATTATGACTGAACTTGTAAACAGATTGTTGATTATGACTGAACTTGTAAACAGATTGTTGATTATGACTGAACTTGTGAACAGATTGTTGATTATGACTGAACTTGTAAACAGATTGTTGATTATGACTGAGCTTGTGAACAGATTGTTGATTATGACTGAGCTTGTGAACAGATTGTTGATTATGACTGAACTTGTAAACAGATTGTTGATTATGACTGAGCTTATAAACAGATTGTTGATTATGACTGAGCTTATAAACAGATTGTTGATTATGACTGAGCTTGTGATATATCACCTTAAAACTTGACACCATAAAAACTTTTTGAAATAGCATTTCAGAAGAAACTTTTGGCAACTACAGGTCTTGTTTAGATGAGGAGTTCTAGTATTGAATAAAAGGCCTCATGGATATTGACATGTGGCAGACAGAGGAATGATTTGGACTGAGTGAAATAATTATGAAAAAAAGAAACAACTGCAGATTAGCATGACTTTTTTCACATTATTCCTTAGGTCATGAAGTGTTTTGTTACCATAGTAATTTTTAATTCCATAACAAGATTCACTTCTGTCATATATTTTTCTTTTAAAATTCCTTCTGTATGTGTTGTACGTTATTTACGCTCTTTTATGATATAAGAATTAATTGATTAGAAGTTTGGCAAGATTAGCAACCTTATTATGTTTCTTTCTTTTTTTTTATTTCTTTTCAAATTATGCATTTGAAGAAAATGTTAATAGGAATTTTCATCATGAAATACTTTAGGCTTAACTTACCTGACATAAAAATTGACGGTCAAGGCAATGCCTAGTTATTTTTCTTGGAAATATATAAAAGTTGAAATCTCTGTGTGTGTATCTATATGAAAATAAAAAATAACACACAAAACATTACGTAAAATAGTCGGAAAGAATAAAGCAAAAATATATAATGATTCACAAAAACGTTTAAAAATCACAGTGTCAAGCTTGGTTTTGTCAAAATATAAATTAAAAGATACTCTTTTCATTCAAATAAAAAATGTAATTAAAAAAGTTTACTCTAAAACATGAAGTGTTTACAGATATTTGAAAAAAAATGACTGAAGTATTGTCGACAAAACCTTTAAACTCAACTTGGTATTTTATTAATATGAAACACTTCTAAACTTGTATTGTGTAAATATATATACAAGTTCAGTTATAATCAACAATCTGTTCTTAAAAGTTTCTTTGGCCAAAGAAATGGATGAAGAACCATATAAGACTTTGGATTTCTTTTCACGGTCTTCTTTTCACATACTCATGAGGCCCGTCATGGCCAGGTGGTTAGGGCACTCAAGCTGTTTAATTATAACAGAAAGGCTAGTATGGATGAACTTTAAATGAATGTGCTTGTGTGTGGGCCCAGCATGGCCAGGTGGTTAGGGTGCTCGACTCTCAATCTGGGGGTCACGGGTTCGAATCCCCATCACACCGAACATGCTCGACCTTTCAGCCGTGGGGGAGTTATAATGTGATGGTCAATCCCACTATTCGTTGGTAAAAGAGTAGCCCAAGAGTTGGCGGTGGGTGGTGATGACTAGTTGCCTTCCCTCTAGTCTTACACTGTTAAATTAGGGACGGCTAGTGCAGATAGCCCTCGTGTAGCTTTGCACGAAATTCAAGAAACAAAGAAACAAACATACTCATAATAAAAAATTTTATGCCTGTTTGAAGCTTTTTTATTGAATTGTACATTTTGTGTCTTCTTTAACATTTATATCCTCAAAATAACATTTAATTTGGCTTTTATATAATCATAAGATTGACATAATTGTGGTATCTCACTGATGTCAGAATGTTTAAATTCATAGATAGATTGTCTATTTTTTAAATATTTCTTTGCTTTGTTATAGAGCAAATTGTATGTATTCTTTGAACTTTCAAACTATAGACCTAGAGATCAACATGAATAGCGGGCTGGGCATGACCTAGTGATTATCGTGTTTATTCTATGAATCCAATGCTCTCTTCCTTCTAGTCTGTCAGTTCAAAATTAGGAACATCTGTGTGCAGATAATTCTTTGTAGTTTTGTGCTAAAATTCAGATAAAAAACATGAATGAAAGCTATAAAATACATGTAAGGGGTGTTGCAAAATAAATCATATTTTTTCCCCGAGGTAATGATGAACTTGGTAGGACCACGAATATCATCACTTGTGAGAAAACGTCATTTCAACGTATTCTTGGGTGTTTGAGTCTTCGAATTTAATTTTTTGCAAAAACTTTTGAATCATGGTGCTCACTGGAACTCTGGTTCGTGTTGTTTGTGCTGCCTTCAGGATGGCTCAGAAACTAGTCACAGAATTCAAGTCTTCCAATCGAAATTCCAGATTTGAAAAATTTGATTAATTCCTCAAAAGTTTCAGAATTGTTGAAGTTGAAAGAGTGGTCCATAAAAAAGTGGTGGAATGTGGATTGGGAACTCTCCAGATTTAAATCCTGCCGAAAATGTTGGAGTTTTTGTTCAACAATGCACAGAAGAAATGTTGGAAACTTTACTCGAATGCGAGAGACACAAAGATGAAACCTTGATTCGTGTTCTCACTGATGTGCTAACAGAGACAGCCGTTAAAATAAACATGTTTGTTACATTGCT